TGGTGGCTTCACAGGTCTACAAGGACACATATCAAGCCTCCCTACACTGAGGATGCAGTTGACGATGACTCAGAGGAAGATGTCATTGAAGATGTGTACGACGTTGCCACTAGGGAGGACACAACCATAGAGAGCCCCGCTACAGAGATACGTGGTAAGATACTCGAATGCAACAAATTGTTATCCATTTGGCATTTACTAAGTGTAGTAAAACGGTCCAACCTCATTTCTGTACCCAGGCCACACAATTGTCAAGGTTGTCCAACGAAGCAATGTTTCGACTTCATGAGTCTAGACGGCAGGGCTAGGCATTCTACAGGCTTTTGTGGAGGTACACAGAAAGTTGTCCATTATTAAAATGTTTGTTTAGTCTCTACACACTTGGTGAATAATTTTTCTCTAACCTATGTTGATGCAGAAAGTGAAGAAGAGCTGCAGGAAGCTAGCTCAAAAGTTGAGCTGCATGGATACTCCATGGGAGGAACCCCACTACTCGATGTGGTCGGGTGGCACCACTTCGACTTCTTTGAGGACACCAGCCGATTCTTCTAAGCCAATGATAGGTACGACTTCCCCTGTGCGTACACCACCCCACCATAGCGCTGGGAAGGGCCCTACAAAAGAGGACGATGAGTACGACGAGGACGACGAGGACGATGACTATGCCCCGGGCTTCCACGGACACCACCACTAGTGGGACCCTTGGCAGCAGGATGAGATTGGCATGTCTCAGCTAGGTGGTGCCCCGCTTGGTACCCAAGGAGACGAACATGTACTAACAAACCTACTTTTTTTTAAATACCTAGCCTGTATGAACTAGCAATGATAAAGATTGTAACTAATCTTGCCTATCTTATACTTGTAGGGTACGAGCCTGTATGCAACAGTATGGCCGTCAGCCCCGCCATCGCGACCGCACCGACGTTGGGTACACTCCTAATGTGTTGCCTACAAATCCGAAGAGACAGAGGCGTCCGAGGGACCCTTACACTCCTGGGACGTATGGTCTAGGTAAGCATAGTCCATGTTTTTTTCAAGTTTCCTCAATTGCAAAACTTGATGTATTGCCTCCTTACTAACTGTTGTGACGATAACGTAGGTACACATTCAACAAGGCCTTCAAATGCTGAAGATCGTCAAGGATCATGTACTTGTTGCACTTGTGGTTCAAGACCTCCGTACCAACTTGTGCACTAGGTCGACTCATTTGCTTCGTGTTGTACGAATCATGTAGTGTCAAACTTATGTTGTCATGAACTTAATTTGCTTCAAGTCTTATGTAGCAACTAGTTGTGTCGAACTTATGTCAAACCAATGAAGTATTGTGTACCAATCTGTTAACTTTGTGCACTTGATTGACTTTGTTCAATTTGTGCAATTTGTTATCTTGTGCATCTAGCCTGCATCAGTGGTGGTATTGAATTGCCGTGGAGGCTGGTGCTCAGCTTTGTTCTGCTCAAAACAATGTCCAGGCCTTGCCGTGCCATTTGCCCTAGCGTGTCCGGCTTGCCGCGCCTCTGCTGGTGGCGGGCACACTACGCGTAGGAAATGGCTTATATGGTGATGATCCAAGGGAGTTTCTCGCACGTCTTGCAAGCAATATTGGATTAGATAAGTTTCGTGCCGTTATAGAAATAAAAATTAAATAACCTCTCCAACCCACATCTAAGGTACTCATATACGTTATTATTAAAAAAACTTGGGTTGTAGTTCGATGGATCGGAGGGTGACAAACGGATGTGATGAAGATACTTGCTTAGGATCGAACATGGGTACTCCGAGTACATGGAAACAATGTTCGATACATGGGTACAGTACATCAATACTTCATTAATAAAGCATTGTTCGTTAATAAAGCATGGAACTAACAAATCTGAAGCATGAAACTACAACATGGCGCACTCACAAATACTCAGTCAGAAACATACTGAGTAAGCAACTCATCGTCCGAGTACCAATCCTCTACCACAACCTCGTTGCTGTGGCTAGGCTCACCTGCATTGCCCTAATCTGCCTGTCGCCTATAGTAAGCAGCCTCCACTTCATCTGTGGCCTGAGACAAGAACGTATTCTCCTCCACCTCGTTCATGTGGCTAGGATCACCTGCATTGCCCTAATCTGCCTGTCGCCTGACAGTAAGCGGCCTCTGCTTTATCTGCAGCCTCTACGGCTTGAGAGAAGAACGCATCCTCATCTTCCTCCACCTGCAAGCCCACCTCTGCTAGAGCGATGAGCTCACTCAGTCTGCTAGTGTCGTCCTCATCCTTCTCTGCCTGCAAGCCCACCTCCGCTAGAGCGATGAGATCGCTCAACCTGGCAGTGTCGTTCTCATCCTTGTCCTCCTCATTGTGCAACACAATCGGAGATAGAACGCTACAACTAGTTCACGTTCTGTGTTCATGTTCTGTGTTCATGTAACTTCTTTTCCACATACCTTGCATGGGCCACCTCTGCGGCATGCTCCCCGCCGCATCCAATTACTTCATGTATAAAATGCAACAAGTTAGCAATGCGATTATATTACAAATAAAAGTAGACAACGGAAATAACAAGGCTTCCAATGACTCACTTGCACACAATGCAACAACATGGTCGTTCAAGACCTTCATCTATACTCTTTCCTCCTCCATTGCAGCCTTCTTTGCCCTCTCGTCCTCTAACGCCCTCCGTCTCTCCAACCCCCATTTGTCAAGTTTGACACCGATCGGGTTACGAATACCGCTCTGTCTAGCAAACTCACGCATGTCCTTCTTCCGTTGTTTAACGAATAGGTCGACGTAGTCAGGTCCATATCCCCTGTTCCATGCAATTACTTGCCTCCCCTTCAACTCATCCAAGAACCTAGCTTGACCATCATAAGATTTCCACTTGCATTTTCCAGTGCTCTGTTGAAACGAAAAATTAGATCATAAGTCTTAGCAAAAGAAAAAAAAAACAATTTCATGTTTTCTACAACAATAACCAACCTCATCATAGTCAATCATATGGCCGCAATAATGGCCTATTTCAAGTTCCGAAGGGACTAGGCCATAGTTGGATTTAACACCACATTCGTACATGACAGGTGGTGCTTTAAAAATTATCCTTTCTTTTTTCTTTTTTTTCCTTTTCCTTTTCCTTTGGTGGTTTCGGCCATTGATTCTTACGACCATAGAGCCACTCCTTGAAGCGACACTTCGCAAATGCAAACACCTAAAAGAGGTGACATTAGTACATGAACACCTATAGCTCAACATTTTAACAGATACACTGTCCGCTTACTTCATGCTTGTTTGGACACACAAACTCTAACATATTATCAGGGTTTATCACAACTCAATCTCCGCAATAGCACAGAGGAGGTTCCTCGAGTCGTCTAACTACGGCTAAGTGCTTCTCTTTAGCCGTCATTGGTGGAGGGTTAGGGGGAGGAAGAACCCACCGCTCAAAGTGCTCACGTGGATGTCTCCCTCTCCAACAATCGAAAAGGAGGTACCTTGGGTCAAAGTTATCTGCACCGTCGATCCACTGAAAGAAAAGGCACCTCTCATGGGCCAACACAACAAGATTCCAACAAAATATTAGTAACCTAGTAACACAAATGAAGAAAAAAATACGTAAATAATTACTTATATTAAAATGACTGCATGTGTAGAAGCAACGAGCCGCTGTGTCAGGATGTCTCGATTGAAACACGTCGGCGGACAACCACAATCACAGTTAGGGACACGGAGGTCAGGAGGGACGGGGCATCTTTGCTAGACGCGTCAAGGTACAATTCTCTAGGACGACCCCATTTTCGCCACAACTGCTCCCGATACATGTCTTGCATCTAATAAAACGGTTGTAATTTAACATCAATCAAAACATCGCAAATTAATGTAAAGAAGAACCATTTGCATTACAACTAAAGTAATATAGCCAACACTTATAGGAACAAAAATAAACCTTACACTAAACATGGTAAACATACTTCTAATCCTTGAATCCACCATTCAAACTAATATTTTCCTCCAAACCCTAGCTATCAATCCTAATCCTTAATCCACCGTTCAAACTACTAATAAGACCACCATTATCTTCACTGAGGCCGAGGAGGAGCTTGGGGAAGGTAGGGAGAGGGCGACAAGGGAGGGAATGGTGGTGGCCGGGCGCGGGCGCCTCGAGCCCCCTCACTTCCAGTCACCCAAACAGACAGAGGGAGGGAGCCCGCGGCGTGACGGTTAAGTCGGGCCCGGCTGCGCCATGACCGGCGGCGCAGCAACGACGCGCCATGATCCGCCATGCGAATAGGCGTGATCAAAAGTGTTAGTTTTTTAAAAAAAATTAAACAGTGTCAGATTTGAAAATAGTTTAAAAAAAGTGTTAAAAATAAAAATAAAAATCCTCGCAAACTGCATGACTTTTTATTGTGCGTTTCTTCATTCCAACTTCAAGTATACCTCCTCAAGTTGGGTCAATATACCCAAAAGATACAGCATCAATTCCAAACTTATAAACTGAGAAGATGAATCTCAAAGTTTCAAGTATGGTCTCGGCAGTGAACTCATCAAGATATATATAGGATGATTTTCCACTGGTACAGAAATGACGTATAGATGGTATTACCGGAAAGGGGAAAATATTTCTTTTGGGTAAATGATAAGGTAAACTAGTTACATTGGGTAAAATGTAAGGTGAACCTATCGGTAGATATACACAATTTCGGAACCGGTATACATGACACTGTCCAGATGAATTGTTTCTACAATGGACCACCTCCAATTCTTGTTCGAGATGGTATGATTTCCCTAAACCTTTGATTAGACCAACGGGGGCCTTATGCACATGAAAATTAATTATTGATGAGAGAACAAAATCCTAAACGGAGCTCATATCATGGTCGGAATGAATATGCTGGAGGACTCCACTTGAGTTGCCACAACGGCAAAACCCCTGGGAGCAATCTAAGATGCTGACGTCTCTCCATTATCAGAATTCGATGAACCACCTCCATTGGCCATCTCAGTATCGCCATCACTCTATCCCATGAACAGGTCTGCCTTGCTACGCCTTAGCGACTCAACTTTCCTTTGTTCTAGAGGAAAAGAAATGAGCATGTGTTATGAGCAACGTTTAAGCCGCAAACATTAAAATGATAGCAAATTTTGGGTCTTACTTTTGCTGGTTATCGTGTTGCGAGTCACTGCTAAGAAGCCCTCCCAGGTGTACTTCCGTAGTTCCTGCTTTTCTTCCTCAGAAAGCTCAAAGTTTGGCTCCCTTCCACACATAAAAGCAGCCCTGCGCAAAATTCGACTTCGTCAAATTTGATGATTCATGGTGAATCATTAGCTATGCAACAAATTATGCATCCACATCGTATCAAAGCAACATCATTTGATCTTGACAGAGATACAATCAATGTCACATATTGGCATATTACACGTATCCCTTAAACCAAATTAAGAAGCAAAACAAGTAAACACTAATAGAGGCAACATTTACTTTAGAAATCAGGCAAGAAAGCCTAACAAAGAATGATAACTAAACAAATCTGTATGGCGCAGTCAGAATTGGTAGGCTTGGTGAGAAGCCAAACCACTGAACAGTAAACTCTGTGACATGTTGAAGCATATGTTTTACCTGGGGAACACGGAGAGCTAATTTTACAGATGAAATAGATAGATTTTATGCATTCAAGTGTTTCTTTCTTTCTTTCTTTATTTATTTTCTCAAACACGCAGCCACACATGAGAATCGTGTATCATTTCATTAAGGTTTGAAACACAGGGGAAGAGCAAGAGATCCCCAACAACACACACAACTCACACACCAACAGCACTCTAGAAGACTAGATCACATGCCAGATGACTATTCAGGAAGGTCCATCACTTTTTCCTTCGGTTGACAAAAACATGACATAAAAAAATAATGGAATATGAGCCTCAGGCTGCAAGATCATGTAGCAGCCTTGGTGATCTGCAGATCTTATCTGAAAACAGTTTCCTAAAATGTGTTTCTGAGTTACTGTGGTGGAAACTGTTTTAGGAAACTGTGTTTCCTAAAATGTGTTTCTGTGTTACTGAGGTGGAAACAGTTTCCTAAAATGTGTTTCTGTGTTACTGTGTTGCATCAAGATGCTCATAGCAGCCTTGCTATGAGCATTAGCTTGTGTTGGGAAAAGGTAAAAAGTTAGGTAAGAATGGTGGAAATCTTGTGGTCAAATAGAGGTGTGCAGTCATAGTCAAGCTAATACCTGTCATAAAGCCGGGCTGCTTCGTCCTGTGTTCCAACAGTACCCAAGTGAATCTGTTTCTTGTCAACTTTTATGGCAGCCTGCCATTTCATATTTTTGAAATAAACCCCCCTCATAATGCATGGCTCTTGATCCACGTATTGCTTTCTTCTATGTCGTTTTCTGCGCTTGATTTCCTTGTCTGAAAATGCAATTTTCTTATCACCTGTAGAGTAAACTGTAAAGTTCAACTCAAGAGGATTAAGGTAAGACACGCAAAAGAAAAGGTACAGGAAGTCCTTTAGGGAAAAGCTACAGGCCCTAATGAAACATTCCCAGCACAGCTATATAAGAAAAAATTGTCACACAAACATTTCCTATTGCAAACTATATTCTTTAAGGACACTTCAGAATGTGACAATGAAGAAAGCACAAGTTCTCTGAGATTTCCAATACAGAATTCTAGAATATCAACTTCTATTTAAGTACCATAACCACAAGTAACCTGGACTTTAAGTGAAGAACAAATGCTAATAATACAGAATAAGAATGAAGTATAGACCTGGATAGTACTGGGTTTTCTCTTCCTTTGAATCATCAGAACCATTTGAGGATGTTGTGAGCACATCAGAAGTCTTTGCCTGTGACGAAAAGGCAAATTTTGTTAAGAAAACTCATACTTGCCATTGTAGCCAACAAATTTTCAGTAATGCTTGAAGCAGAATGCAGGTACTACACAAATGTCACTACAAAACTCATCAGGCTATCTTAAGGAGAAAAGGATACAACACAAGCAGGTAATATAGACACAAACTGGGATACTTTTTTTTTTTATTCCGTTATCTGGAAAAACATTTGAGTGTGTGCACATGTGCACCAATATACTCCTGTGCAAGATACTTCATCAACATACAAAAAGTAATTATGCATACCAAGGGCAGTGGATGCACACTGAATGGCTTCACATTGGAGTGCACAACTTCCACAGTTTTTTCATTTTCAATGGGCTTAGGAAGATCAACTGGCAATGAGTCTTTCCCTGAAACAAAAGCTAAACTCATGTGATTACTCAAAACATATAGGCCAACCTCTTTGTTGGTATAGATACGCAGATGATCCCAGATAAGGCTTTATACTTTTGTTCACTTCAAATATTCTATCTTCTTTAGGTTCTAATTGTAGAGAAAAAGAATACTGACACAGTCAAGCACTTCAAATTTATGATTTTTCAACATACTTTTGGGCTGCTAGTTGGTTAGTGATCGAACCAACTAAAATAGTAAAAAACATGTAGCTTCCATCAGTAACTTTTAACACACATGTATTTATTTCCATGTACATTAAGGATTCTGCACTGGTTTTTTTTATACATTAGGGATTCATTCATATAGCAGGCTATTCCGAGAACATTTGTTGTATACTTATATCCACACATATGGAAGTTCAAACATATCTTTTGGAAAAAACTTCAATTAGAGTTAATTGCTGCTTGACCATATAAAAAGTATAGCTGGAATATCAGGATAATTAATATGGCCATTCTTAAAAGGAACAATGTTCACATAATTGTAAAGAAAAAATATTTATTTCTTATTTGGTAGAAAACAGTATTTGAAACTCAAAAGAACAGATATATGACATAACCCTAAGACGAATTCTCAAAAGTGTGACTAAAGTACAAATTCTGGTACTGTTATGGGGGATGTTATGGTGGCTGCTGAGATTGTGAGGGAGAGAGAGGGCCGGCCGGGGGCCTTGCTCACGGCCGAGCAAGAGAGAAGGTTTTCCTTCTAATTCCTGCTTATCCCTATCTGAGATTATTACAGCCATTAAATAGGCATCTTGCCCAGTCTTGCGCATGCATGGTCATCCCCTTTGCCCAGTCCTCCACCGCACATCCCCTTTGCCCAGCCCAGTCCTCCACCGCACGCACCACGCATGTCTGGTCTTCTCCTCCTAAATTTAGGTCATGCACGGTCTTCCTGCGGTGAGGGTGCTCCACCCCATGCCATCACACGCCTCTAACAGGTACAGGTAGCAATTAATTTACAACCAAACTAACCACTTGGAAAACCTGCACTCCTAATTTCCCATGGCCCTCGTTTCTAATATAACATTAAGAAAACTCGGCCGGTGGGGAAAGACCGTCCCACGGTATTTTACTAAGAAGAGCTCAACCGGAGCCCGGCCGAGAAAGGTCACGAAAGCTGGGTCCCCTCATACATGGAGATGCCGCCCCCTATGGTTCAGGCCTTAAACCCTCCCCAGTTCACCCATGCCGACCAGGGAACCAAAGACTGACCTTTTTTACCCAGCCTGAAATTAGCTCCCACAATGATTCGTACCCAAGACCTGGGGTTCTAACTGAACATTAAAATAAACTACCTAATTCAACTAAGCACTAACATGTATGTGGGAATGGGGAGTATTGAATCTTTTAACAAAAATTAGACTAAGCATGAAAAACAACTCCTAAAAACTGGAACACATGCAACAAGATTCATTTTTTCATATAAAAAGATATGACTGAAATGATAAGGTACATAAAGTTTCTATTTCAAACATCAGACCATAATCGAAATGATAAGTATAAATGACAGATGTGCTATGCTACTTCACATACAGAAAAAAAAGATGTTCTTTTCATAACATAAATCCTCTGAGCAATTTTTACATCTTGGCAAGATATTTCAAGGTACTAAATGAATTTCCTCTTACCAGAACAAAGACCCAATAGTCGACGTCGCCTCAAGCTAACCATACTTGAAATGCCACCTGCAGCAGAGTCAGAAATATGAAGAGATAATAAACAACTGCTAAATTCGAGACTAAAATAAGAATAAGAAAAAAAAATCCATGTTTACGATGGCACTAACCATCATGTGGGCTAGAGCACACACTAACAACACTCATGTTTTATATCACCCACATTGTTCAAAGATGCGACACAAGTACTAGGTGCCCGGCACCCTCCATTCCCGGCTTTTGCCGGTATCAGTGGAAAATTATTCAGGTGGGGACTTTTCGTCCCCCCCCCCCCCCCCCGGTGACGTCTTCAAAAAAAAAAAGATGCGACACAATGATGTCTTGCCACATCAGTGCAGAGTGCACAAATAGGACTGCTGATATAGACATGCTTAATTGTTACATGCACTGTAGAGTACAACGAATTCCCATTAAAATGAGCATGCAAGTATAGTGGACACAAATGCAATATACATGCCAGAATAGCTTGAAAGTCTATACCTACCTATCAGCTTCTTAAATTACATGGCTACAAAGGAGAGACTACATCAAATCAAAAACACCTTTTTTGACAAAATTAAGGTCTTACATAAAAGATAGAAAGGATATAATCACAAAAAAGGATGAAGCTATTTTCTGTTTGCACTGGATGGTAAACACAGATAAAAGTTCCAACTCACTCATCCAGTTCAACGTATCCCACAACTCATGCACGAGTATTCTACCATCTCAACTGATCTTTGAATCACCTTGAAAAATGAGTCCACTCCATAATCACACAAATATCATAAGGTACTGACAGCTAAATAAGTGGATCCGCAGGCCCTAATCCTAAAATTCATAGTATTGATATAGGAGGCATATAATCCAATTGAGTCAAATGGATTATCTGCAACCCCTGAGCATGAAAAGACTATAGACAACCAACATGTATCCACAGTCACAAACCTCAACACTTCCATTTTGACAATCTGAAAGGAACTTCACATATAATGCAGACCCGGAACAGCAGCAGATGACTGACAACAGACCAATTTTTCAAAACACCATCCTACTGCACCCCATTTCTGAAAAGAGTCCCGTTCCTACCACATGGGGGCACTACTCCGATTAAGCAAAACTCGATGGGAGAGGAACCTAAATGCAGTAAAGTCCAATGAATAAATAACCCCCTAAAAATAGAAGCAAGAATTATGTTAGTGTACTTGTCACCACTGCCAGTTAGCACAAATGAGCAGGCACACTCCAGGGCCTACAGAATCTTGCTACACATCAGAGGGTTAAGTCCTGCGGACAGGAGCTTCTCTTTGAACAGTAAATTTTGTAACAAAAAAGGGTCAGCGCATATCACCTCGTCCTGCAATGAGTGAGGCTCCAAACACTCATACGGCTACAGAGAATTGCACGATCTACAGTCATCAGGCATTGAAACCAAGAAGTACAAGAATCAAGGCTTGCCCTCAAAGACTCATTTTTAGGCATAATTCTCACCACAACAACCGCTATGTTACATGATTATTACGCCTACCATCATCATCGACCTAATAACGAGAAAAAAACATGAAAATCAATCACGAACAGAAACAGGGTGGGTGGCGAGACGTCTCGCCCAACCACCTCCTCATCAGCCACCCAACCCAACCCTGGCAACCCCCGCAAACCAACCGAGCAATCCAAAGAAACCCTCCGGAACCCGAGAATTCCGGCGCAAGCCCGTCCCCAACCACCGCCACCTTCCTTCCAATCAATCGGCGGCCCGCCACGACAACACAAGACACACGACGCAGCGCAAGCACCCGCCGGCGCGGCAAAGAGCGACGCGGAATTCAGGAACGGTGGAAGCACCGGCGGCGGCGGTGGTCAACCACAGCGCCGGCCGGCCGGCTGGAATTCAGGAACGACAACGACGACACGCGCGCGCGCGCTGGCCGGCGACGAATCGGCCATCAATGTGGCGCGACGTCCAACAGACACACAGAGGCGTAACGAGACGGGCGTGAGGGTACGTACCGGCGGCGGCGGGTGAAGCGAGGCTGCGGAGCGGGCGCGAGACGGTAGGGGGGCGGGGACGAAAAGAAGTTGGTAGGAGAAGAAGTTGGCGAGGGCGAGGGATACAAAGAGGGTGGCTCACATCTACTACCACCACCCGTTAATTACTTGGAGATTTCTTTCCATGCGATCCCTTTTTCTTATTTCTTTTTTATTTTTTTGTGAAGGGCATCGGTGACGTCTCGCCGTAGCGGGCCGGCCTCGTCTCGCGTTGGCTGCTGGCTGCTGGTGGTGGTGAGGATGGATGGACGGGTTTGCCCCTGCGTCAGGGGAGGACTCGTTCGGTACGCCCGTGGACTTTTCAAGGTCAAGGGACACGCTGATAGTAATAGGGATCTCTAGGTAAATATTAAGCTGGGGTGTCCTCTCGTGAAAACTGCACATGTTGCCAATCGGCCAACGGAGAGTACCTAAAATGCGCCGTACCAAAATTTAGGCGTACAGTATAGGACTCCTGTAGAAAACACGTCAATTTTTTTTTGAGACAGAAAACACCTCAATTTAGTGGCTTCAATTAATAAGTAGATTTATTATGTGCGAAAGTCAGATTTTCCGTCATACCTTGTGGTCAGTCAATCCTAGCCGGTGCCGCCCACGACGCGCAGAAACGATGGCATGTAAGCAGGCGCTACTGCGCTAGAGACAGCTGAATACTTTGGCATTTCTCATATCGAGCTAGAGACTGACTAGTGCCATCTGAAGGAAGCTTTGACTTGTGCCATCTGAGATCTCCGTGCTCTTCTCCTTCGTCATTTTATTTGCCTCAAAATTTGTAAAGTCCCCAGATCTTGTAACTCGTCTGCGCATGAGCTTGCGAAGAGAGGGATGAGTTGGGACCCGGGTCAATCCTATGTCTGGACGGACCTCCTCTCGGAACATGTAATTGGTTTGGCTGCTTGTGATTATGCTGAGCTTGAGTCTTTTACTATAAGGCCTAGAGCCGAGTTAACTATAAAAAAGTCTACTATTGCCAACTATACTTACATATAATAACCAATGGATATGGAAACACTCCGTGATAGAGGAATGAATAAAACGACCCCCTTTTAATGTTTCCTCTTCTTCATCTTCCTCCTTCGTCCTTCCACGTGACGACGGCATTCAACAACGATTACGCCCAACCTTCATGTTCCTATTGGTAGCCCACGGCTCCCCCCCCAAACTGCCAATGGCATTGCCATATTTATGTCGTGGCAAACTACTTGTCTTATTCTCATCGGTAACCACCACCAACATCCCACAAAAAAGCTCGATTCGCTATTAATCT